CTGCATGGGGGGCACGCACTGCTCTGAGGCGGGCTTTCTCCTTGTCTGATGTTGCGGCGCTGAGCATGGCATCAGCTACTTTTTCCACTAGAGGGTGGTCCCAGCCGGACTCTTTGTGTTGTTTTGCTGGCTCTATAATGGTTGCTGGGGCTGCAAGAACATCCCACTGATTTGAACATTCAGTGAAAGCAGGATCGTGTATTCCTGCTGAATCTCTCAGGGTTGCAGGTAAAATATCTCTGACGAGGTCGTGCGATGCATGGGAGGAGGAAAGGAAGGCTGGTAGAGCAATTTGGGAGGCTGTGCGGACACCAAGGCCGCCGAGTCTTACAGGAAGGGTTGCTTGCTCCCACTGAGAGTCGTCCAATGGCAGGTTCAGGACTTTCACCAGCATGGACCTCAGAAGGGTGTCATACACATTTAACTTAGGGCTGCTGTAGGATGGAGAACATCTCAGAAAGTAGGTCAACTTAGGGAGAGACAGGCATCTTGTGAGGAGAAAGAGAGCATCATGGGCATCAATCTTGTCAATCCTGTCCAGCATTCTCTTTAGGTCAGTGATTTTTGCAGCCAGGACCTCCTCGATTGCTCGTGGGCCAATGGGGGCACCCAGGAGAGTGCAGTCCGGTGGCTCGACAACGAGAATGTCTGGAAGAACATTTTGTATTTGCCCAGTGATGTCTGGGTTGCGGGAGATTATTTCACATTTGGATGCATTGAGAATGAGGCCTAAGGCTGCTCCCTGCTCCTGGATTTTCCTTATATCCTCCAAAATGGTTTCCGGAGTTCCAGCTAGAGTGCCATCATCCAGGTACCAGATGTTTAGCTCGCTTGTCAGACTATCAGTGACCTCTTTGATAGCTAGGCAGAAAAGGAGGGGGGCTAAGGGATCACCTTGTTGGACACCTTCACAGGAGTTTATTTCATGCTCCCCAAAAAGAAGCTTAGAGTCCCCACTGTAGCACGATCGGATGAACGGGTAAAGGGGACGGAAATGGTTGTGTACAGCCCTGAGGATAGCGTCTCGTCTGACTTGATTGAAAGCATTTTTGAAGTCAAGCTTTACTAGTGCCTTCTGGCCCGGGAGATCAGCAATGTAAGCCCGCGCTGCATGTGCTGCAGCTTCACAACCTAGGGGAATCCCAAACCCGAGCTGATGAGGTTTCAGCAAGGTGCTTGCTTCCTGGCTGATAGATCTGACTGCAGCCTTAGCTACAAGGCGTCGGAGGGTGTTGCCAACGGCAATGGGCCTGATACCCCTATCCTTCTTCTTTAGAGCACAGAGTGCTGCTCCATAAAAGACAGGCCTGATATCCTCAGGGATGCCGCCAGCCAAACACATGTTGGAGAATCTGGTAAGTTCCACTAGAAGGTCCTTTGCAGCATCTCCAAGCACCGGGTTCAGCATTTGTTTGATGTGCTGGGGTCTTAGGCCTGTAAAGCCCCCTGCTGAACCTGTTGGGAAAGACATGGCTGCCTTGTACACCTCAGATTAGCCTCTGCTGTCATGGCGTTCCTGGGGGCAATAGTGTCATCGCTGGTCATGATTCTGATGGCACCTGTGGTATTGCCCTCCTCTATTTTCCTGGTGATCTGTGCTCTCATTTTGTGGTTCTCAGATGATTTATTGTTGGACGTCCTGCGGCTGGTGTTCTTGGCACGAGGGGGGAGGCGGACCAGGTTGTCTGCTCTGGGGAATTCATTAAGAGCCCTGATTACAGAGGTTTGCTAATGACTTGTCTCTCCTGGGCGGTAATGCTAGGCATGCATTCCCAAATAGAAGGAGATTGTGCCACGATCCTTTATATTTATTATATATATATATATAGATATATATCTATTATATATATATTATCCGAGCAGGTTTTTATATACATACTATATAGATAGCACGTCTGTGACAGTAAAAAACAGGCTTTTTCTGAAAAACTGTGTTTTTCATGTGTTTTTCACGTGAGGGAAAGCTTCGAAACCTCTTTACCAATAGCTTTGATATTTTGACACAACGTTTTCTTCGAATAGGTGCGTCTTTTATATATCCTACTATATACATGCCTGACCTATGACAGGAAAAAAACATGCTTTTTGAAAAACAGTGCCATCTGTTGGACGCAAGAGTAACACATGCTGTAATCTCCGAAAGCTCCTCACCGATTGCTATGAAATTTTGACATAATGTTGCATTCGAATAGGTGCGTCTTTTTATATACCAACTTTTTAGATACCACCCACTGTGACAGGTAAAACATGTTTTTGAAAAACAGCGCCATCTGTTGCACATAATAACAACATGCACGCTATACTAAATATCCCACGAATTCCATTTCAATGTTTCTGATTGCATTGATAAATTTTATTTTCATAGATTTTGATTTATTTTATTTTTTATTGACTTATTTTGTCTGACATTGTGTTGGAATTGAGCTGTGTTGTTTACCATATTGTTCATTTCGTAAGTATATGTATAGATGCCACACCTGTGACAGGTAAAACAATGAGCCACAGCAACGCGTGGCCGGGTACTGCTAGTATATAAATAAAAATGGAAATGTTCGTTTGATCAAAATCGCTAATCTCCGAAAGTTCTTCACCGATTGGCTTGAAATTTTCACACAATGTTCCATTTGCATCCGAGCAGGTTTTTATATACATACTGTATAGAGATCACGTCGGTGACAGAAAAAAACATGCTTCTTTTAAAAGCTGTGTTTTTCATGTCAGGGAAATCTTCGAAACCTCTTTACCGATTGCTTTGAAATTTTGACAACATTGCATTCGAATAGGCGAGTGTTTTTTGACATACCTACTACATACATGCTTCACCTGTGACAGGAAAAAACATACTTTTTTTTGAAAAACCGCGCCATCTGTAGGACGTAAGCCCAACACAGGCTATAATCTCCGAAAGTTCTTTACCGATTGCTTTGAAATTTTGATACAACATTCCATTCGAATACGTGCATGTTTTTATATACATACTATTTAGATGTCACTCCTGTGACAGGTGCAAACATGCGTTTTTTGAAAAACAGTGCCATCTCTTGCACGTAAGAGCAACACACGATATACAAAATATGTTATGATTCCATTTCAATGTTCCTGATTGCATTGATAAATTTAATTTTCATATATTTTAACTTATTTTCATTTTGATTTAATTGTTTTGTGTGACGTTGCATTGGAATTGAGCTGTGTTGTTTACCATACCATTCATTTCGTGGGTATAGCTTATTTGTTTCTTTTTTCATTATTTTTCAATTCCTTTTTTTAACTGTTCTTATTTTTCAGTGCAATTGGTGGTGAATTTGAGCTGTGTCGATTGATCTGCGTTTGAATTGAAATATTTCGTTAAAATTTTTTGTTTTGAAAACAGGAAAATGGACAACACGTTTACTTCACACCTGCAAATGTGCAACAAACAGCCATGAATCCAACGGCTACAATGTTAACTGCTTTCTTTACGTTATGTCAAAATGACACATTTGCGAAAACCCTGCTGTATTCGGAAGTGCCTACGTATTACACATAGAATGCGATTAGAAAATAATTTGAACGACGCAAACGAGGAGACCAAGTTGACGGACAACCTGGCATATTCAAATAAACTACGATAGGCAGACTGCACACTGTGCATCCCAATCAAGATGAATGCTTCTTTCTTCGCATGCTGTTGGTAAATGTGGCGGGTCCAACGTCTTTCCTTCCATTGAGATTTGTCAACGGCATAACTTATGCCACTTTCCGTAGTGCATGTCAAGCTCTTAATTTATTGAAGAACGACCGACACTGGGATGTATGAATTAATGACGCGTCCAACACGTCACATCTAAATCAAATTCGAGCATTGTTTGCAATCATATTGACCACCTGCTCTCCTTCGTCTCCATCAGAGTTATAAGAGAAATGTAAATCGCACACGGCTGAAGATATTATCCGTCGAATACACAAGGAAAATTCAAATGTGAACATAGATTTCACATCAGAAATCTACAACGAAGCATTGATAATGACTGAAGATTTTTGCTTAGAAATCGCGAACAAAGTTCTAAATCAATTGGAAATGCCATTACCGAATTGAGCTGCTGCTGCTTCGTTCGATGTAGAATTGCGTCGTGAACAAAATTAAAACACGGGTGATATGTTGTCGTATGTGCAATCAAATATTCCTAAGGTAACGCTTGAGCGAAAAGGCATTTACACTCAAATAAATCAAACTGTCAATAACGGGCTTGGAGAAATCTCCTTAGAGGCGCCAGGATGAACTGGTAAAACCTTCCTAATTAGATTGATTCTGGCAGCATTTCGATCCAAAAATGGCATAACCTTAGCCCTTGCATAGTCCGGAATAGCTGCGACATTGCTACCAGGTGGAAGAACTGCTTCTTCGGCTTTGAAATTGCCATTGAACATGCTCTTCATTAAAACTCCCACGTGCAACATTTCCAAAGGATCCGGCGTGGGAAAAGTATTGCAGAAATGCAAACTTAATATTTGAGATGAATGCACAATGGCCCACAAAAAATCGCTCAAGGCTCTTGTTCGATCATTGCAAGATTTGCGTGGAAACATCAGACCATTTGGGAATGCATTAATATTGCTTGCAGGCGATTTCAGGCAAACATTACCTGTAATTCCTCGATTGACACCAGCAGACGAAATAAATGCTCGACTGAAATACTTTACTTTGTGGCGCCACATAAAGACGTTTATAAATAAAATTAAATCAATGATAAGTTTTATTATAATTCAAATTTATAATACAAATTATAATTTTAATATTATAATTCCAAGCTTTAATGTCATTTATAATTATAATATTATATATTATAGTTATTACATTGTGAAGCAAACTAAGTTTGAGCAATTTTCAATATTATTGCCAGTTTATAGGGAAGTTTTTGTGTTGCATGGCAAGTTATTACATTCACTTAGGCTGATGTAGCAATATAATGTTGAGGCCATAATGGTGATGTCCTCCCTCCCCCCCCCATCCCCCCCAGGTATGGTCGGGTGGAGGTCCGCGCCAAGATGCCCCGAGGAGACTGGTTGTGGCCAGGTGAGTGGCAGGTGTGGCCAGATGAGTGGCAGGTGTGGCCAGGTGAGTGGCAGGTGTGGACATGTGTGGCCAGGTGAGTGACAGGTGTGGCCACATGAGTGGCAGGTGTGGCCAGGTGAGTAGCAGGTGTGGACATGTGTGGCCAGGTGAGTTGCAGGTGTGGCCAGGTAAGTGGCAGGTGTGGCCAGGTGAGTGGCAGGTGTGGCCAGGTGAGTGGCAGGTGTGGACATGTGTGGCCAGGTGAGTTGAAGGTGTGGCCAGGTAAGTGGCAGGTGTGGCCAGGTGAGTGGCAGGTGAGTGGCAGGTGTGGACATGTGCGGCCAGGTGAGTTGCAGGTGTGGCCAGGTGAGTGGCATGTGTGGCCAGGTGAGTTGCAGGTGTGGCCAGGTAAGTGGCAGGTGTGGTCAGGTGAGTGGCCAGGTGAGTGACAGGTGTGGCCAGGTAAGTGGCAGGTGTGGACATGTGTTGCCAGGTGAGTGGCAGGTGTGGCCAGGTGAGTGACAGGTGTGACCAGGTGAGTGGCAGGTGTGGCCAGGTGAGTGGCAGGTGTGGACATGTGTTGCCACGTGAGTGGCCAGGAGAGTGGCAGGTGTGGACATGTGTGGTCAGGTGAGTGGCAGGTGTGAACATGTATGGCCAGGTGAGTGGCAGGTGTGGCCAGGTAAGTGCCAGGTGTGGTCATGTGAGTGGCAGGTGTGGCCAGCTGAGTAGCAGGTGTGGCCAGGTAAGTGGCAGGTGTGGACATGTGTTGCCAGGTGAGTGGCAGGTGTGGCCAGGTGAGTGACAGGTGTGGACATGTGTGGCCAGGTGAGTGGCAGGTGTGGACATGTGTGGCCAGGTGAGTGGCCATGTGTGGCCTGGTGAGTGGCATGTGTGGACATGTGTGGCTAGGTGAGTGGCAGGTGTGGCCAGGTGAGTGGCAGGTGTGAACATGTGTGGGCCAGGTGAGTGGCAGGTGTGGCCATGTGTGGGCAGGTGAGTGGCAGGTGTGGCCATGTGTGGGCAGGTGAGTGGCCATGTGTGGCCAGGTGAGTGGCAGGTGTGGCCAAGTGAGTGGAAGGTGTGGCGAGGTGAGTGGCAGGTGTGGCCATGTGTAGCCAGGTGAGTGGCAGGTGTGGCCATGTGTAGCCAGGTGAGTGGCAGGTGTGGCCATGTGAAGCCAGGTGAGTGGCAGGTGTGGCAAGGTGAGTGGCAGGTGTTGCCAGGTGAGTGGCAGGTATTGTCATGTGTGGCCAGGTGATGGCAGGTGAGTAGCAGGTGTGCACAGGTGAGTAGCAGGTGTGGCCAGGTGAGTAGCAGGTGTGGCCAGGTGAGTAGCAGGTGTGGCCAGGTGAGTAGGTGTGGCCAGGTGAGTAGCAGGTGTGGCCAGGTGAGTGACAGGTGTGGCAAGGTGAGTAGCAGATGTGGCCAGGTAAGTGGCAGGTGTAGCCAGGTGAGTAGCAGGTGTGGCCAGGTGACTGACAGGTGTGGCAAGGTGAGCAGCAGGTGTGGCCAGGTGAGTGGCAGGTGTGGCCAGGTAAGTGGCAGGTGTAGCCAGGTAAGTGGCGGGTGTGGCCAGGTGAGTGGCAGATGTGGCCAGGTGTGTAGCAGGTGTGGCCAGGTGAGTGACAGGTGTGATCAGGTGAGTGTCAGGTGTGGCCAGGTTAGTAGCAGGTGTGGGCTAAGTGAGTGTCAGGTGTGGCCAGGTGAGTGACAGGTGTGGCCAGGTTAGTAGCAGGTGTGGGCTAAGTGAGTGTCAGGTGTGGCCAGGTGAGTGGCAGGTGTGGCCAGGTGAGTGACAGGTGAGTGACAGGTGTGGCCAGGTGAGTGACAGGTGTGGCATGGTGAATAGCAGGTGTGGCCAGGTGAGTAACAGGTGTGGCCAGGTGATTAGCTGGTGTGGTTAGGTGAGTGACAGGAGTGGCCAGGTGAGTGACAGGTGTGGCCAGGTGAGTGGCAGATGTGGCCAGGTGTGTAGCAGGTGTGGCCAGGTGAGTGACAGGTGTGGCCAGGTGAGTGACAGGTGTGGCCAGGTGAGTAGCAGGTGTGGCTAGGTGAGTGGCAGGTATGGACAGGTGAATAGCAGGTGTGGCCAGGTGAGTGGCAGGTGTGGCCAGGTGAGTGACAGATGTGGCCAAGTGAGTAGCAGGTGTGCAAGGTGAGTTGCAGGTGTGGCCAGGTGAGTGGCAGGTGTGGCCAGGTGAGTGTCAGGTGTGTCCAGTTGAGTTGCAGGTGTGGCCAGGTGAGTTGCAGGTGTGGCCAGGTGAGTGGCAGGTGTGGCCAGGTGAGTGGCAGGTGTGTCCAGTTGAGTTGCAGGTTTGGCCAGGTGAGTGGCAGATGTGGCCAGGTAAGTAGCAGGTGTGGCCAGGTGAGTGGCAGGTGTGGCCAGGTGAGTGGCAGGTGTGTCCAGTTGAGTTGCAGGTTTGGCCAGGTGAGTGGCAGATGTGGCCAGGTAAGTAGCAGGTGTGGCCAGGTGAGTGGCAGGTGTGGCCAGGTGAGTAGCAGGTGTAGCCTGCCAGGTTATCATTTTATGCCAAACAAAATTTTTATTTGTGAATATACATGTGAACATTTATGAATATACATGTGAACATTTATGAATATACATGTGAACATGGATGAAAATACACGTGAACATGGATGAAAATACACGTGAACATGGATGAAAATACACGTGAACATGGATGAAAATACACGTGAACATCTCCCCTGCAGCTATCGAGCTAGCGCCCAGGGACTCACGATATGGCGCATGGCCTGCAAGTGGCGAAGTTGATATAGTTGAGTCTCGAGGTAAGTAGTGAGTGTGTGGGTGAAGGTGAGTACTGAGTGTGTGGGAGAAGGTGAGTACTGAGTGTGTGGGAGAAGGTTGAGTACTGAGTGTGGGGGAGAAGGTGAGTACTGAGTGTGTGGGTGAAGGTGAGTATTGAGTGTGTGGGAGAAGGTGAGTACTGAGTGTGTGGGAGAAGGTGAGTACTGAGTGTGGGGGAGAAGGTGAGTACTGAGTGTGTGGGGTGAAGGTGAGTACTGAGTGTGTGGGTGAAGGTGAGTACTGAGTGTGGGTGAAGGTGAGTACTGAGTGTTGGTGAAGGTGAGCACTGAGTGTGGGTGAAGGTGAGTACTGAGTGTGGGTGAAGGTGAGTACTGAGTGTGGGTGAAGGTGAGTACTGAGTGTGGGTGAAGTTGAGTACTGAGTGTTGAAGTGAGTACTGAGTGTGGGTGAAGTACTGAGTGTGGGTGAAGATGAGTACTGATTGTGTGGGTGAAGGTGAGTACTGAGAGTGTGGGTGGATGTGAGTACTGAGAGTGTGGGTGGAGGTGAGTGCTCAGTGTGTGGGTGAAGGTGAGTACTGAGTGTGTGGGTGAAGGTGAGTACTGAGTGTGGGTGAAGGTGAGTACTGAGTGTTGGTGAAGGTGAGCACTGAGTGTGGGTGAAGGTGAGTACTGAGTGTGGGTGAAGGTGAGTACTGAGTGTGGGTGAAGTTGGGTACTGAGTGTGGGTGAAGATGAGTACTGATTGTGTGGGTGAAGGTGAGTACTGAGAGTGTGGGTGGATGTGAGTACTGAGAGTGTGGGTGGAGGTGAGTACTGAGAGTGTGGGTGGAGGTGAGTACTGAGTTAATGGGAGGAGGTGAGTACTGAGTATGTGGGTTGAAGTGAGTACTAAGTGTGTGGGGGGAGGTGAATACTGAGTGTGTGGGTTGAAGTGAGTACTGAGTGCGTGGGTGGAGGTGAGTACTGAGTGTGTGGGTGAATATGAGTACTGAGAGTGTTGGTGAAGGTGAGTACTGAGTGTGTGGGTTGCGGTTAGTACTGAGTGTGTGGGGAGGAGGTGAGTACTGAGTGTGTGGGTGGAGGAGTGTACTGAGTGTATGAGTGAATGTGAGTTCTGTGTGTGTAAGTGGAGGTGAGTATTGAGTGTGTGGGTGAACGTGAATATAGAGTGTGGGTAAAGGTGAGTACTGAGTGTGTGGGAGGAGGTGAGTTCTGAGAGTGTGGGTAGAGGTGAGTACTGACTGTGAGGGTGGAGTTGAGTACTGAATGTATGGGTGAAGGTGAGTACTGTGTGTATGGGTGGCGGTGAGTGCAGTGTGTGTGTGGGAGGTGAGTACTGAGTGTGTAGGAGGAGGTGAGTACAGAGTGTGTGGGGGGAGGTGAGTACTGAGAGTGTGTGGGTAGCTGGTGAGTACTGAGTGTTTGGGTGGCTGATGAGTACTGAGTGTGTGGGTGAAGGTGAGTACTGTGTGTGTGGGAGGAGGTGAGTACTGAGTGTGTGGGTGGAGGAGAGTACTGAGTTTGTTTGAGAAGGTGAGTACTGAGTGTGTGGGTGGAGATGAGAACTGAGTGTGTGGGAGGAGGTGAGTACTGAGTGTGTGGGTAGAGGTGATTACTGAGCGTGTGGGAAGAGGTGAGTACTGAGTGTGTGTGTGGAGGTGAGTAATGAGTGTGTGTGGGTGGATGTGAGAACTGAGTGTTTGGGTGGAGGTGAGTACTGAGTGTGTGAGTGAAGGTGAGTACTGAGTGTGTGGGTGGAGGTGAGTACTGAGTATGAGGGAAGAGGTGAGTACTGAGTGTGTAGGTGGAGGTGAGTACTGAGTACTCACCTAGTTGTACTCACCTAGTTGTGTTTGCGGGGGTTGAGCTCAGGCTCTTTGGTCCCGCCTCTCAACCGTCAATCAACAGGTGTACAGGTTCCTGAGCCTATTGGACTCTATCATATCTACACTTGAAACTGTGTATGGAGTCAGCCTCCACCACATCACTTCCTAATGCATTCCTTTTATCAACCACTCTGACACTAAAAAAGTTCTTTCTAATATCTCTGTTGCTCATTTGGGCACTCAGTGTCCACCTGTGTCCCCTAGTGCGTGTGCCACTTGTGTTAAATAGCCTGTCTTTGTCTATCTAATCAATTCCCTTCAGAATCTTGAATGTGGTGATCATGTCCCCCCTAACTCTTCTGTCTTCCAGCGAAGTGAGGTTTAATTCCCGTAATCTCTCCTCGTAGCTAATCCCTCTCAGCTCGGATACTAGTCTGGTAGCAAACCTTTGAACCTTTTCCAGTTTAGTCTTATCCTTGACTAGATATGGACTCCATGCTGGGGCTGCATACTTTAGGATTGGCCTGATATATGTGGTATACAAAGTTCTGAATGATTCTTTACACAAGTTTCTGAATGCCGTTCGTATGTTGGCCAGCCTGGCATATGCCGCTGATGTTATCCTCTTGATATGTGCTGCAGGAGACAGGTCTGGCGTGATATCAACCCCCAAGTCTTTTTCCTTCTCTTACTCCTGAAGAATTTCCTCTCCCAGATGATACCTTGTATCTGGCCTCCTGCTCCCTACACCTATCTTCATTACATTACATTTGGTTGGGTTAAACTCTAACAACCATTTGTTCGACCATTCCTTTAGCTTGTCTAGGTCTTCTTGAAGCCTCAAACTGTCCTCATCTTTTTTAATCCTTCTCATAATTTATGCATCGTCCGCAAACATTGAGAGAAATGAATCGATACCCTCCGGGAGATCATTTACATATATTAGAAACAAGATAGGACCGAGTACAGAGCCCTGAGGGACTCCACTGGTGACTTCACGCCAATCGGAGGTCTCACCCCTCACCGTAACTCCCTGCTTCCTATTGCTTAGATACTCCCTTATCCACCGGAGCACCTTACCAGCTACACCTGCCTGTCTCTCCAGCTTATGTACCAGCCTCTTATGCGGTACTGTGTCAAAGGCTTTCCGACAATCCAAGAAAATGAAGTCCGCCCAGCCTTCTCTTTCTTGCTTAATCTTTGTCACCTGATCGTAGAATTCTATCAAGCCAGTAAGGCAAGATTTACCCTCCCTGACCCCATGTTGGCGGTTTGTCACGAAGTCTCTTCTCTCCAGATGTGTTACCAGGTTTTTTCTCACGATCTTCTCCATCACCTTGCATGGTATACAAGTCAAAGACACTGGCCTGTAGTTCAGTGCCTCTTGTCTGTCGCCCTTTTTGTATATTGGGACCACATTCGCCGTCTTCCATATTTCTGGTAGGTCTCCCGTCTCTAGTGACTTACTATACACTATGGAGAGTGGCAGGCAAAGTGCCTCTGCACACTCTTCATGCAAAAACAAGCAAAACGTAAATGTGTGGGTGGAGGTGAGTTCTGAGTGTGAGGGTGGAGGTGAGTTCTGAGTGTGAGGGTGGAGGTGAGTTCTGAGTGTGAGGGTGGAGGTGAGTTCTGAGTGTGTGGGTGGAGGTGAGTTCTGAGTGTGAGGGTGGAGGTGAGTTCTGAGTGTGAGGGTGGAGGTGAGTTCTGAGTGTGAGGGTGGAGGTGAGTTCTGAGTGTGTGGGTGGAGGTGAGTTCTGAGTGTGAGGGTGGAGGTGAGTTCTGAGTGTGTGGGTGGAGGTGAGTTCTGAGTGTGAGGTGTGAGAGGTGAGTTCTGAGTGTGTGGGTGGAGGTGAGTTCTGAGTGTGTGGGTGGAGGTGAGGTGAGTTCTGAGTGTGTGGGTGGGGTGAGAGTGTGAGGTTTCTGAGTGTGAGGGTGGAGGTGAGTTCTGAGTGTGTGGGTGGAGGTGAGTTCTGAGTGTGTGGGTGGAGGTGAGTTCTGAGTGTGTGGGTGGGTGAGTTCTGAGTGTGTGGGTGGAGGTGAGTTCTGAGTGTGTGGGTGGAGGTGAGTTCTGAGTGTGTGGGTGGAGGTGAGTTCTGAGTGTGTGGGTGGAGGTGAGTTCTGAGTGTGTGGGTGGAGGTGAGTTCTGAGTGTGTGGGTGGAGGTGAGTTCTGAGTGTGTGGGTGGAGGTGAGTTCTGAGTGTGTGGGTGGAGGTGAGTTCTGAGTGTGTGGGTGGAGGTGAGTTCTGAGTGTGTGGGTGGAGGTGAGTTCTGAGTGTGTGGGTGGAGGTGAGTTCTGAGTGTGAGGGTGGAGGTGAGTTCTGAGTGTGTGGGTGGAGGTGAGTTCTGAGTGTGAGGGTGGAGGTGAGTTCTGAGTGTGTGGGTGGAGGTGAGTTCTGAGTGTGTGGGTGGAGGTGAGTTCTGAGTGTGTGGGTGGAGGTGAGTTCTGAGTGTGTGGGTGGAGGTGAGTTCTGAGTGTGTGGGTGGAGGTGAGTTCTGAGTGTGTGGGTGGAGGTGAGTTCTGAGTGTGTGGGTGGAGGTGAGTTCTGAGTGTGTGGGTGGAGGTGAGTTCTGAGTGTGTGGGTGGAGGTGAGTTCTGAGTGTGTGGGTGGAGGTGAGTTCTGAGTGTGTGGGTGGAGGTGAGTTCTGAGTGTGTGGGTGGAGGTGAGTACTGAGTGTGTGGGTGGAGGTGAGTACTGAGTGTGTGGGTGGAGGTGAGTACTGAGTGTGTGGGTGGATGTGAGTATCTGAGTGTGTTGGTGGAGGTGAGTTCTGAGTGTGTGGGTGGAGGTGAGTACTGAGTGTGTGGGTGGAGGTGAGTACTGAGTGTGTGGGTGGAGGTGAGTACTGAGTGTGTGAGTTTAAGTGAGTACTGAGTGTGTGGGTGGAGGTGAGTACTGAGTGTGTGGGTGGAGGTGAGTACTGAGTGTGTGGGTGGAGGTGAGTACTGAGTGTGTGGGAGGAGGTGAGTATTGACTGTGTGGTTGGAGGTGAGTACTGAGTGTGTATGTAGAGGTGAGTACTGAGTTTGTGTGTAGAGGTGAGTACTGAGTGAGTACTGAGTGAGTGAGTGGAAGTGAGTACTGAGTGTGTGGGATGGAGGTGAGTTCTGAGTGTGAGGGTGGAGGTGAGTGACTGAGTGTGTGGGTGGTAGAGTGAGTGAGGGTGGAGGTGAGTGTGTGGGTGGAGGTGAGTTCTGAGTGTGTGGGTGGATGTGAGTATTGAGTGTGTGGGTGGAGGTGAGTTCTGAGTGTGTTGGTGGAGGTGAGTACGGAGTGTGTGGGTGGAGGTGAGTACTGAGTGTGTGGGTGTAGGTGAGTACTGAGTGTGTGCGTGGAGGTGAGTACTGAGTGTGTGGGTGGAGGTGAGTACTGAGTGTGTGGGTGGAGGTGAGTACTGAGTGTGTGCGTGGAGGTGAGTACTGAGTGTGTGGGTGGAGGTGAGTACTGAGTGTGTGGGTGGAGGTGAGTACTGAGTGTGTGGATGGATTCAGTACTGAGTGTTTGGGTGGAGGGGATTATGAGTGTGTGAGTGGAGGTGAGTATGAGTGTGTGAGTGGAGGTGAGTGCTGAGTGTGTTTGTTGCTAGTGAGTACTCAGGGTGTGGATGGAGGTGAGAATGAGTGTGTGGGTGGAGATGAGTACTGAATGTGTGAGTGGAGGTGAGAACTGTTTGTTTAGGAGGAGGTGAGTACAGAGTGTGTGTGTGGCAGGTGAGTACTGAGTGAGTGGAGGAGGTGAGTACTGAGTGAGTGGAAGGAGGTGAGTACTGAGTGTGTGGGTGGAGTGAGTACTGAGTGTGTAGGTGGAGGTGAGTACTGAGTGTCTGGGTGGAGGTGAGTACTGAGTGTGTGGGTGGAGATGAGTACTTAGGATGTGGGTAGAGGTGAGTATTGAGTATGTGGATTGAGGTCAGTACTGAGTGTGTGGATGGATTCAGTACTGAGTGTGTGGATGGATTCAGTACTGAGTGTGTGGGTTGAGGTGAGTATGAGTGTGTGGGTGGAGGTGAGTATGAGTGTGTGGGTGGAGATAAGTACTTAGGATGTGGGTAGAGGTGAGTATTGAGTTTGTGGATTGAGGTCAGTACTGAGTGTGTGGATGGATTCAGTACTGAGTGTGTGGATGGATTCAGTACTGAGTGTGTGGGTTGAGGTGAGTATGAGTGTGTGGGTGGAGGTGAGTATGAGTGTGTGGGTGGAGATGAGTACTAAGGGTGTGGATGGAGGTGAGTATGAGTGTGCGGGTGGAGGTGAGTATGAGTGTGTGGATGGAGTGAGTATGATTGAGTGGCTGAAAGTGAGTTCTGAGTGTGCGGGTGACTTGTGAGTACTGAGGGTGTGGATTGAGTTGAGTATGAGTGTGTGAGTGGAGGTTAGTACTGAGTGTGTGGGTGGCGGTGAGTACTGTTTGTTTGGGAGGAGGTGAGTACAGAGTGTGTGGGTGGCTGGTGAGTACTGAATGTGAGGGTAGAGGTGAGTACTGAGGGTATGGGTGATGGTGAGTTCTGAGAATGTGGGAGGAGATAAGTTCTGAGTGTGTGGGTTAAGGTGAGTACAGAGTGTTTGTGGGAGGAGGTGAGTACTGAGTGTGTGGGTGGAAGTGAGTACTGAGTGTGTCGGTGGAGGTAAATACTGAGTGTGTGGGATGAGGTGAGTGCTGAGTGTGTGGGACGAGGTGTGTGCTGAGCGTGCAATTTGAGGTGAGTACTGAGTGTGTGAGTGGCTGGTGAGTACTGATGGCGTGGGTGGAGGTGAGTTCTGAGTGTGTAGGTTGAGGTGAGTACTGAGTGTTTGGGTTGAGGTGAGTACTGAGTGAGCTGGAGGAGGGGAGTACTGAGTGTGTGGATGGGGGTGAGTACTGAGTGTGTGTGTAGAGGTGAGTACTGATTGTATGGATTGAGGTGAGTACTGAGTGTGTGGGTGAATTGAGTGCTGAGTGTGTGGGTGAAGGTGAGTAATGAGGGTATCGGTGGATTTGAGTGCTGTGTGTTTGGGTTGAGGTGAGTACTGAGTGTTTTGGGTTGCGGTGAGTACTGAGTGTGTGGGTGGCTGTTGAGTACTAAGAGTGTGGGTTGAGGTGAGTGCTGAGGGTGTGTGTGGAAGTGAGTACTGAGTGTGTGGGAGGAGGTGAGTACTGAGTGTGTGTTTATGGGTGAGTACTGAGTGTGTTGGTGGAAGTGAGCTCTGAGTGTGTGGGTGGAGTTGAGTACTGAGGGTGTGGGTAGAGCTTAGTACTGAGTGTGTGGGTGGCGTATGAGTACTGAGTGTGCGGGAGGAGGTGAGTACTGAGTGTGTTGGTGGCTGGTGAGTACTGAGTTTGTTGGTGGAAGTAAGTACTGAGGGTGTGGGGTGGAAGTGAGTACTGAGGGTGTGGGTAGAGGTGATTACTGATTGTATGGATTGAGGTGAGTACTGAGTGTGTGGGTGAAGGTGAGTACTGAGTGTGTAGGTAGCGGTGAGTACTGAAATTGTTGGTGGATGTGAGTACTGAGAATGTTGGTGGAGGTGAGTATTGAGTGTGTGGGTAGAGGTGAGTACTGAGGGTGTGGGTGGAGGTGAGTACTGAGTGTGTGGGTGGATTGAGTACTGAGTGTGTGGGTGAAGGTGAGTACTGAGTGTGAGAATGAAGGTGAGTACTAAGTGTGAGGGTGGAGATGATTATTGAGTGTATGGATTGAGGTGAGTACTGAGGGTGTGGATGGAGGTGAGTACTGAGTATATTGGTGGAGGTGAGTACTGAGTGTCATGGCGTAAGTGAGTACTGAGTATGTGGGTGGAGGTGAGTACTGAGTGTGTAGTTAGCGGGGAGTTCTGAGTGTGTTGGTGGATGTGAGTACTGAGAATGTTGGTGGAGGTGAGTATTGAGTGTGTGGATGGAGGTGAGTACTGAGTGTGTGGATGGAGGTGAGTATTGAGTGTGTGGATGGAGGTGAGTACTGAGTGTGTGGATGGAGGTGAGTACTGAGTATATTGGTGGAGGTGAGTACTGAGTGTCATGGCGTAAGTGAGTACTGAGTATGTGGGTGGAGGTGAGTACTGAGTGTGTAGTTAGCGGGGAGTTCTGAGTGTGTTGGTGGAGTGAGTACTGAGAATTGTACGGTTGAATGAGAAAATCATCTTCCGAAAACACTGATATGCACTTTACCACAATTCCTAAGTTAATTTTGAAAACCTTATTATTAGCCAACTCACTTGTACAGTAATGTAGTATTAACCTCTGTCACTAGAGTCCACACGTGTACCTGTGTGGTTTTATTTAGTTAATGATAAATCAATATTTTTTCTTAAATTTTGTTTTAGTGAACAAGCAACGCACGTTCGTTATTGCTATGCGAGGAAAACAACTAGGAATATAACCTACCACATGTTATTGTTCAAAGACTGAACATATTTTCAACGGGGCAGGAAATACTGAGTATGGCAACCTGGGCCACCAGTACGCAGGGTCCACTCTCCACTGGGGGCCCAACCCTCAAGCCAACATGTACCCCAAGACTCACAAAACTTAGTAAGTGCCTCACCCAACGGAAACTTAGTTAGTGCCTCACCCAACGGAAACTTAGTAAGTGACTCACCCAACGGAAACTTTGTAAGTGCCTCACCCAACGGAAACTTAGTAAGTGACTCACCCAACGGAAACTTAGTTAGTGCCTCACCCAACGGAAACTTAGTTAGTGCCTCACCCAACGGAAACTTAGTTAGTGCCTCACCCAACGGAAACTTAGTTAGTGACTCACCCAACGGAAACTTAGTTAGTGCCTCACCCAACGGAAACTTAGTTAGTGCCTCACCCAACGGAAACTTAGTTAGTGCCTCACCCAACGGAAACTTAGTTAGTGCCTCACCCAACGGAAACTTAGTAAGTGCCTCACCCAACGGAAACTTAGTTAGTGCCTCACCCAACGGAAACTTAGTGCCTCACCCAACGGAAACTTAGTAAGTGCCTCACCCAACGGAAACTTAGTTAGTGCCTCACCCAACGGAAACTTAGTTAGTGCCTCACCCAACGGAAACTTAGTAAGTGCCTCACCCAACAGAAACTTAGTGCCTCACCCAACGGAAACTTAGTAAGTGACTCACCCAACGGAAACTTAGTTAGTGCCTCACCCAACGGAAACTTAGTAAGTGCCTCACCCAACAGAAACTTAGTGCCTCACCCAATGGAAACTTAGTAAGTGACTCACCCAACGGAAACTTAGTTAGTGCCTCACCCAACGGAAACTTAGTAAGTGCCTCACCCAACAGAAACTTAGTGCCTCACCCAACGGAAACTTAGTAAGTGACTCACCCAACGGAAACTTAGTTAGTGCCTCACCCAACGGAAACTTAGTAAGTGACTCACCCAACGGAAACTTAGTAAGTGCCTCACCCAACGGAAACTTAGTAAGTGACTCACCCAACGGAAACTTAGTTAGTGCCTCACCCAACATTTGAACCACTTCCCCGCCGGCACTCGGATGGTAATCTTGGGTATAGCATTTTATCATAGCATTTTGTGCCCCAAATAATGAGGTGTTTTGATAAAATGCTATGCCCAAGATTCCCATCCGAGTGCCGGCGGGGAAGTGGTTCAAATAGCTTCGGCTATCACTTACTATATTTTTCTATATCACAAATATGAAGGGAGAAAAAAATATTGAAGTAGGTGTCAAAATTATTCCAAAATGGTCAAAAACGATTATTAAACACAAGTGTCAAGTGAAATCATATCTATGACTCTTTGCTATCACAATAACATACATTAAAAAAATATTATAATCAGTTTTATTAGAAAAAAAATTAAGTTAATTTTTTTTTTTTTTTGCTTTTTTTATCGGACAATTTGCATGGAACTTATACACGTGACTGCACATAAGACTATCTGTAAGGGTATTAATTTTGGAGAAAACTGGTTAATGTCAACCTCAGCCACAGATGGCAGCACATTAGACTTTACTATTTTCTAATGTATTTTCAACTAACATAAACGTTTGGATAACTTTTACATTTTTTATTCAATTTATATGAAACTTACACCTTATATGTAAAGTGTATGTCTCTAAATATTCAAGTTATCGTTTGGTCCTAAGTTCATTTATTGATTTTATAATAGCAATAAACATGACATATTTGCATAATTTTTTGGGGGGAACTTTGACTATTTGTATTAGGAAAACTAAAGATGTTTTGAGCACTCCATAACTTACGAACCTTTATTATATGCTAATGTGTCAGAAAAGTGTCACGCAATAATTATATCTGAAAGGTGTGTTGTTTTATTCAAACTTGAAAATGTGTAAAATTCGTTTAAAAAAAATAGTTCTCCCTTTCTATTTACGCTGCAGTACTGAAACTTGGAACAATTGCAGCGCTTTTCATATACAACTAGGGAAAAAATATTGGTTGACATTGAACAACTTTTCCAAAACCCAAGTAATGCCCCCTTAAATTAAGCTTTTCTTCGAGGACTACCTCAATGGCGTTCGAGCCATATATATATATATATATATATATATATATATATATATATATATATATATATATGCGAACAAGCCTGAATGGTCCCCAGGACATATGCAACTGAAAACTCACACCCCAGAAGTGACTCGAACCCATACTCCCAGAAGCAACGCATCTGGTATGTACAAGACGCCTTAATCCACTTGACCATCACGACCGGACATAATGAGGTGATAGCCGAGGCTATTTGAACCACCCCACCGCCGGCACTCGGATAGTTATCTTGGGCATAGCATTTTACCAAATCACCTCATTCTTTGGGGCAACACGTGAGGAACACAAATGCGAACAAGTTGTTCTTGTTCGCATCTTGTTCTTGTTCGCAAATGCGAACAAGTTGTTCTTGTTCGCATTTGTGTTCCTCACGTGTTGCCCCAAAGAATGAGGTGATTTGGTAAAATGCTATGCCCAAGATAACTATCCGAGTGCCGGCGGTGGGGTGGTTCAAATAGCCTCGGCTATCACCTCATTATGTCCGGTCGTGATGGTCAAGTGGATTAAGGCGTCTTGTACATACCAGATGCGTTGCTTCTGGGAGTATGGGTTCGAGTCACTTCTGGGGTGTGAGTTTTCAGTTTGATATATATATATATATATATATATATATATATATATATATATATATATATATATATATATATATATATATATATATATATATCTCACTCGCATTAACACCCAGGATTATGTCTTCACAGCTCTGCCAATTATGGATCATTTGGCAACAACTTCCATACATGGAGGCTGGACTGGACCAGGGACAACATGAAGTGAGTTCCAGTGTTTACAATCATTAATTCAATTACTCAGTTTCCGAAAAACGGGAAGTGTTGCCAAGCATAAGTGGTGTATTTGTGTGTTTGTAAATAAGTTGATTTGTTTTACTCTAAGTATGCAATTGTGTGGTATATATATATCTGCGTGTCTATGCACAGTATCTACAGTGAAGAGGTTTGCAGGTATGTTGAGCTATACAGCAAGAGTTCTGTATGAGGAACTTGGCTAGTTCTCTCAAATGCACCTTTCTTGCTGGTTGTGCCAAACATAACTCTTGAAGATGCAGTCAAGATCAGCGGGGTATATGAACAATAGCTCAACTTAGGCAAGAAGCCTTGTATCTTTTTATGCCAGACTCAACTCGCGAGGCACCTTTGAATAGGCACAACGCTCTACACCATTCAACTGTCACTGGGTCTTTACTTCTATATAATGTTTAAAGGAAAGATCTTCTCACTGGTATCTATGGTGTAACAAAATTATAATTACCTCAGGTTCTACGTGGATGGCCAACTCCAGCTGACAGTGGACCCGGGAACCAACTTCTGGGACTTGAGTGGCTTGGGCAGCTCCCAGGACAACCCATGGAGAGATGGCAGTAAGATGGCACCTTTCGACCAAAAGGTGGGCATCAATGATTTTCTCGATTTTAATTTTAACCCTTTCTTTCTGTGAATTTTTCGAGTCACAAGTTGATCAAAATAACCCCGGTTGTTGCATCAGGTCGGTCAAAGATTGCCTTGCTCGCTACCTAAAGTTGGTTAACACTGCTACGTCTGCTGCTCAATGTAAGTCAAAACATTTTTAGTCTCTTGCTGGTCAAAACTGAACCATTTGCTGCCTATAGTTGGTCAACACGGCAACAAATGTTGCATGTGTCTCATCAGAGGCACATTTCCTGTGTCAACTTAGCAAACACTGTCGTAACACTTAGGTAGCGACATACATCAAATTATTTACATATAATTTGAGTGCACAAAATTACAAGGGCAAGTTGAGGTAAACTAACAAAGCTCTCTAGTCTCTGTCCTCCTGACTTTCATCTCGTCTAACGTTTCCGTGTTATTTGCTCTTCTCTTCCACATAGGGAAGAGAAGTGGTAAAAATCCCCTGGCTCAATGGACAAACACTCGCCCGGCGATTTTCGAGCGATTTAGCCTGGGCTCATATCCTGGCTGGGGAGGATTGATTAGGTGCTAATCATTAACTGTTGCCTCTGTTCACCCATCAGTGAATGGGTATCTGGTTGTTAAAGATTTGGCAGGTTGTATTCCAAGGGAAACTAGGATTAAGGTCCTGCACGAAATGTTATGCGTTCTAGTGGCTGTACAAGAATGTAAGAACTCTTGTAAATATATAAAAACAAAAGAATATCAATATTTCAACTGCCTCTTCAAAACTCACATACTGTATGTTTCTCTTCGTCCTAATATTTTACCCAGAAATGAAATAGCCCTTAACTTCTTAAACATTGGATCAATATAGACCGCAAATAATAGAAGACTGAAAACAGCACCTGGTTTGACCCAATTTTTAATTGAGAAAATTTCAGAGAATACATTGCTTCATTTCACAACCACTTTTCATACCTGATAAGAGAAATATATATTTATCCATTACAGATCACACTTTTCTGCTAAACTATGATCTAAAATGTTTAGTGTGTTCGACATTGTCAAATGCTTTGAAAACATTAAAGAACAAAGAGAGAACAGCGACTGACGAGATGTAGTACAAAACAGTTTCCCACACCAAGAAACAACATAACGTCGTTGAATAACCAGTTTTGAATGCAAATAAAAAGTCAGAAGTGTCTAGTACATCAGCTAAAAAAGTCAATGAGTATATAATCGAAAATTTTGCTAAATAGTGTGTTTAGGGAAATAATTCTGTAGTTATCACAGGACATAAAAGTTTGGCAAGCTTTTATTATAAGAACATGTACCGAGGTGTTTATTATCATGGTAGAGAATGCCTGCAAGACAGACAGACAGACATGCAATTTCGGTGTTCCCTGTTTAAAATTTGCCAAATAATGTGATAAATGGGATAAGGGACAGCCTTAAGGGCAGGTGTCACAAACAGCTGTAGTTAGGTCAGAGTCGATCTCATCTGTCCTCTATATTCCACTGTTGTACAAAAAAGAATATTTACATTTGAAAATATCACTTATCCTATATTACGGGGCCCAGAAGACTCGCCCATAACATTTTTTACTACTTTTAACTTAATTTTTCAAATTTTAACCCAAAATTCATAAAACATTTTTCTTGAATAGTTGACAGTAACCATTGATCTCCCAATATTGTCTTTCTCACTCACAATTATCTTCATTGATTAATGCTTTTGTGTCCTGGACCTTCTTGGGAAGATATAATGACCCGGGTGACATTTTGTGTCCTGGACCTTCTCGGGAAGATATAATGACCCGGGTGACATTTTGTGTCCTGGACCTTCTTGGGAAGATATAATGACCCGGGTGACATTTTGTGTCCTGGACCTTCTCGGGAAGATATAATGACCCGGGTGACATTTTGTGTCCTGGACCTTCTCGGGAAGATATAATGACCCGGGTGACATTTTGTGTCCTGGACCTTCTCGGGAAGATATAATGACCCGGGTGACATTTTGTGTCCTGGACCTTCTCGGGAAGATATAATGACCCGGGTGACATTTTGTGTCCTGGACCTTCTCGGGAAGATATAATGACCCGGGTGACATTTTGTGTCCTGGACCTTCTCGGGAAGATATAATGACCCGGGGTGACCTTTTGTGTCCTGGACCTTCTTGGGAAGATATAATGACCCGGGTGACATTTTGTGTCCTGGACCTTCTTGGGAAGATATAATGACCCGGGTGACATTTTGTGTCCTGGACCTTCTCGGGAAGATATAATGACCCGGGGTGACATTTTGTGTCCTGGACCTTCTCGGGAAGATATAATGACCCGGGTGACATTTTGTGTCCTGGACCTTCTCGGGAAGATATAATGACCCGGGTGACATTTTGTGTCCTGGACCTTCTTGGGAAGATATAATGACCCGGGTGACATTTTGTGTCCTGGACCTTCTTGGGAAGATATAATGACCCGAGTGATATTTTGTGTCCTGGACCTTCTCGGGAAGATATAATGACCCGGGTGACATTTTGTGTCCTGGACCTACTTGGGAAGATATAATGACCCGGGTGACATTTTGTGTCCTGGACCTTCTCGGGAAGATATAATGACCCGGGTGACATTTTGTGTCCTGGACCTTCTTGGGAAGATATAATGACCCGGGTGACATTTTGTGTCCTGGACCTTCTCGGGAAGATATAATGACCCGGGTGACATTTTGTGTCCTGGACCTTCTCGGGAAGATATAATGACCCGGGTGACATTTTGTGTCCTGGACCTTCTTGGGAAGATATAATGACCCAGGTGACATTTTGTGTCCTGGACCTTCTGGTGTAGATATAATGACCCGGGTGACATTTTGTGTCCTGGACCTTCTTGGGAAGATATAATGACCCGGGTGACATTTTGTGTCCTGGACCTTCTGGTGTAGATATAATGACCCGGGTGACATTTTGTGTCCTGGACCTTCTTGGGAAGATATAATGACCCGGGTGACATTTTGTGTCCTGGACCTACTTGGGAAGATATAATGACCCGGGTGACATTTTGTGTCCTGAACCTTCTCGGGTAGATATAATGACCCGGGTGACATTTTGTATCCTGGACCTTCTCGAGAAGATATAATGACCCGGGTGACATTTTGTGTCCTGGACCTTCTCGGGTAGATATAATGACCCGGGTGACATTTTGTGTCCTGGACCTTCTCGGGAAGATATAATGACCCGGGTGACATTTTGTGTCCTGGACCTTCTTGGGAAGATATAATGACCCGGGTGACATTTTGTGTCCTGGACCTTCTCGGGAAGATATAATGACCCGGGTGACATTTTGTGTCCTGGACCTTCTGGTGTAGATATAATGACCCAGGTGACATTTTGTGTCCTGGACCTTCTTGGGAAGATATAATGACCCGGGTGACATTTTGTGTCCTGGACCTTCTGGTGTAGATATAATGACCCGGGTGACATTTTGTGTCCTGGACCTTCTTGGGAAGATATAATGACCCGGGTGACATTTTGTGTCCTGGACCTTCTTGGGAAGATATAATGACCCGGGTGACATTTTGTGTCCTGGACCTTCTCGGGAAGATATAATGACCCGGGTGACATTTTGTGTCCTGGACCTTCTGGTGTAGATATAATGACCCAGGTGACATTTTGTGTCCTGGACCTTCTTGGGAAGATATAATGACCCGGGTGACATTTTGTGTCCTGGACCTTCTGGTGTAGATATAATGACCCGGGTGACATTTTGTGTCCTGGACCTTCTTGGGAAGATATAATGACCCGGGTGACATTTTGTGTCCTGGACCTTCTTGGGAAGATATAATGACCCGGGTGACATTTTGTGTCCTGGACCTTCTCGGGAAGATATAATGACCCGGGTGACATTTTGTGTCCTGGACCTTCTCGGGAAGATATAATGACCCGGGTGACATTTTGTGTCCTGGACCTTCTTGGGAAGATATAATGACCCGGGTGACATTTTGTGTCCTGGACCTTCTGGTGTAGATATAATGACCCGGGTGACATTTTGTGTCCTGGACCTTCTTGGGAAGATATAATGACCCGGGTGACATTTTGTGTCCTGGACCTTCTTGGGAAGATATAATGACCCGGGTGACATTTTGTGTCCTGGACCTTCTTGGGAAGATATAATGACCCGGGTGACATTTTGTGTCCTGGACCTTCTCGGGAAGATATAATGACCCGGGTGACATTTTGTGTCCTGGACCTTCTCGGGAAGATATAATGACCCGGGTGACATTTTGTGTCCTGGACCTTCTCGGGAAGATATAATGACCCGGGTGACATTTTGTGTCCTGGACCTTCTCGGGAAGATATAATGACCCGGGTGACATTTTGTGTCCTGGACCTTCTCGGGAAGATATAATGACCCGGGTGACATTCACTATTCACCTTTCCTCTGAAGACACACTTATGAGTTAATAAATTATCTCACGGCAGAGACTCACGGTGAGAAGGGGTTTGGTAGAGGTATTCAGTCATCCCTAAGGAATTATTTTACGTGTGATTTTCCTGTTAACCATCTTTCCCTCAATCCATCCAGCTATCTCTTTATTCGTCTATGTATCCAGCTTTTCATCCATCTATCTGATCATTTATCCATCCATCCATCTAACCATTTCTTGCCTCTGTCTGTGTATCTCTCTGTCTCTCCGTGTCTGTCTATCTCTATCTGACTTTATATCTCTGTCTGTTTCTATTATGTAAAATATAATTTTCTACCATTGTTGTGTGGTTGTTGCCCGTGGGAGGAGTTAGCAGTTTGAAATGTTAAACAAATTAATAGTTTTCCCATTTTCGTCGAGAAAGCGGAGGGACTTGATAAAACTGGAATCTGTGGGAGACTCATCTGTTTCCTATGAGTACACCCACTATCCTTCTTACAAAGAACATCGCTTTTCGCTCGTATGCGTTACATGAGGCCAAAAATTGTCGTACTAGGAAATGGAGGCGGCTCGCAAGTGACGTACTGTCCCGTT